GGGCTGGGGGGGGGGGGGGGGGGACAATACTTATTACTCCACTAGTTTATTGCTATAGTACATAATTTCGTTTGTTTTAAAAAATTTGTTATGTTTACTTTTCGAGAGTTATTATATGAACTTTGATCAATATTTGTATTTTATTTCACCACACATATAAAATTAATTTTATTTTTTTTATTCATAGTCATTTTTGAATTTAACTCTATAATTAAATTAACTTTCAAAAAATAAAATGTGACAAATATTTTGAAACGGAGCGAGTAGGCTGCTAATAGCAATAACTAAGGTGGTAGTACATATATATAATTTGCCAGACAGAATACTGCTTCCTCCAATCACTTCAAATTAATGCCAAAATTAAAGCTTTCCCTTTCTTGCAAAAATAGCCTCTTTCCTCAAAAGCCACTATCCTCAATCATTACTCTCTTCCCAATCTCTATTACTACTATATTCTAATTCTACACACACAAATATGGCTTATGTCCCCTCTTCTTCTTTCTTATTGTTACCTCTTTTCTTGGAATGAAAATCACATCAACTTCATTTTTAGGGTAATTTTTAACTCGGCTCAACTCAGCTCGATTTGGTTTTATACTCTCTCTTACTTACTTACACTCAACCTCTTTTTGAGATTTCGATATTTTTAGTACACTATTCAACTCATGAATTTAACTTACTTTTTCAATCTTTCCTCTTTTGCTTAACAAATTCAAGCTCTTTCAAGATTTCTATATATAGCACTAGCTACTCAATCTAAATCTTCAGCTTGGCTCGACTCTACTCGATTTCTCCCTACTCTTACTTAACAAACTTGAGCTCTTCAAGATTTCTAACTTTAGTACTCAATTCAGCTCGATTTAGCTTGGTTTGGTTTATTCTCTCTTTTTTACTCAACCAACTCAACTTCTTTCAAGATTTCAAAACTATACTCAATTCAGTTAAATTCAGCTCGGCTTGACTCAACTCAGCTCGGTACGCCCATAATAAATTCCCTCATTGTCCTTTTGTCATTTCCTCTTACTACTACTACTAACTAATATCTGAAATAAATACAATCCATTATTAACTTGTACCTAACAATAAATAAATAATAACTTCACAAAACTGTTTTTTTCCTCCCTATTTCAAGAATCAATCTTTTTCAGTTCACCTTAAAAAAGGGGTTTTTGATTTATAAATTCCATTTTTTCTTCAAAACCCCATTATAAGATCTAATTAGAAAACCCTAGAAGTGCAAAAAAAAAAATGGATTTTGTCATAGCACAAGGAAATAATTTCACTACATCTAGCAACAACATGGTTCAAGGTACAAACTTTATTGCCAACAGTACAACCATGATTGCGTCCTCGGTTCCTCCGTTGAGTCGATATGAGAATCAGAAACGTCGCGATTGGAACACTTTTTGCCAGTATGTCAGAAACCACCAACCCCCTCTTTCACTTCCTCAGTGCAGTAGTGCACAAATCCTGGAATTCCTCAGGTATGTACCGTTGTGACTTTCTCAACTAAAAGTTTAAGTTATGACGTACGATTATTATTTTGTACGGCAAAAGTGGTCATTTTTTGAAGGAAAAAAAAAGTTTTTGGAGAATGACTTTGTACTCTAAAAAAATGTTTTCTATGTTTGATTGGAGAGAGATTTTTTAATTTTCTTTTTTGAAAAAATAGTAATGGCAGAGATTGTGTTTTGATGAAAAATTTAAGCTTTTGTAAAGATTGATAATAATGTTTTGGTCTGATATGATATTAACGGTTCATGAATGACCACAAAGTTAAAATTTTAAATTTATGAATTTTATAAATATTAGATAGAGTTCTTAAAAAACAAATATAGAATTTCAGATGAAATTAACGAGTTTTATCGAATTCATTAGCATGGTAACTCAGCCCCTAATTGTGAAGAAACATGATACACTCAAAAAGTGGGGAAATAATCTTCCCCATTCTTGATGGAAAAAAAATAAAAAACTAAAAAATTAGACTTATTTTTCTCGAAAACGTTTTCTATCACATTTTTATTCAATTTATTTTCTTTGAAAAGTGACCAAAGTCATCTCCCCCCCTATAGAATTAATAGGAATTTTTTTTTTAATTGTTCTCACAGATAAAAACTAAATATTGACTTATTTTTCTAGAAAATGATTTATGTTACATTTTCATTCAATTTACTTTTCTCGAAAATTGAGTGTCATACTTTTATTTAATGCACTTAAGCTTACAAGTGAGCGAAGTCATTTCTCCCCTTCTAAACAAGAAAAAACCTTTAATGTTACATAACCAAAAACTAAAAATTAACTTTAAAAAATTACATCACACTTTTATTCAATTTACTCCCCACCCCCC